TACAGCTTTTTTGTTTTCTAGAGATTTCAAGTAATTTTGAATGGTTTTGCACCAAGTTTCGAAAGTGAGATTTTTTAAATGAATATGCATCCAAATACAGATTAACAAAATTTTAATTTAATGATTGAGATGAGCTAATCTAGGTCATTTCTTTAGCATGATATAATTGCAAAATATTTTTCTTAACTATAAATTTGATAAGTCGTTTTATATACACACTATAACATACAGATTTCTGTTTAGATTCTTATTAGATTATATTAGATCTTATTCCATTCTTTCAATTTTTTTTTACTTTCAAAAAACGTTTGTTTATTATTTATAAAGTGATTGCGAAATTGCAAAGTTTATTGCAAACAAAAACACCTATAATAAATAATTACATCTAGCATGATTCATCAGGTATGTTATTAAAATTTATATATATGGGTTTATGATCAACTTGGTGATAAATTTCTAACATTTAAATTATTTAATAGAATCAACCAACAATACAAGTAGGTCGAATTGATAGCAAATGTTGGTCCATAAAAAGTTGATTGACACAATAAAGAAAGTTATTATTAAGATTGAAACAAAATGATGAGTTAATTTTGGATTAAATGTCGCGTTTGAACTATTTTCTAATCTTTGAATACATTTATAATCAACCAAGACAAGATTTATCAGCTTGAATCAAATTATTGAAATTCAAATTTTATTGTAGTATTCATTTTTTTGAGTGTATTTTTAAATTTTATACCAAAAAAAATGAAAAATTATTATTGAAAATTAATGGAAAATCTCAATATTTGTCGTTGCTCATTATTGCTGGTATATAAAAAATGTAATGTAAAAATAAAATGAGCTGAAATTTATTTATTCATCAGTTTCAGGATTTGGTGAATTTGTTATCCATATTGAAAAAATGATAATAACTTTGAAATATGACATGTTAAAAATTACAGGTGTATGTATGTACATGCAAACAAGGTAAAAGTAAATTCAGGCGAATATGAATTTTGGTTTTGAACAAAAGTTGATCAATATTGTCTATGGTAAGTGCAAAAATGTTACTCTGAAATTGTAAAATTAAGAGTTGTAAAATAAAAAATTATTATTTTTTCCAATATACAATGAAAAAGTTATTATTTTAAAGAACATTTATACAAGGAAATCAGCAATGTGAAGATCCAACAGCAAAACATAAAACTAATTTTAAAATTTTATCAATTTTATATATATCGTAAAGACCAATGATCCATAGCAATAAAATCAATCAAGTTACTTAATTCAATATATGTGCTTTACATTTATCAGAATAAATGTAAGCTTGATGAATTATCTAATAATCAAGTTAGCTATGACAGTATCGATATCATGTAAAATAAATCAATAAAAAAATGTAAATTATATGTACGCATAGAAATTTGCAAAAAAAATAATAACTGGCTTGAAACTCCAGTTACGTTAACAAGCCTATATTTACAGTAGCTGTAAAATATACGTGTTGTAAAAATTAACAGCTAAAGAATGCATAAAAATCAATTAGTTTACTCTGGTTTATTTACTTGATATTACATAAATTGTCCATAAATTCAGAAAAATAAAACCAAAATTACATCCAGTGAAAGAACCGAGACGAATTTCCTCAATTTAAAAAATAAATCATTTGTATTTCTGCAATGAGCAATGTCTGAATATTATAAACTCGTATTCATTTACCAATTAGCATAAAATTGCATTTTTCTCTTATCAAATTTATCAAAATCGGAATTCAAAGGGAAAACATCGAGATCATCCAGCGTAACTAAGAATCTGCATAGAACGAACAAGCGCGGGAACTTCAAATTTCTAACAATAAGTCGTGCTTATGCATAGCGGACCGTAAAGCATCCATATTTAGTGATAATAACGATAATATCGATTATAATTAAGTTTCGATATTGATTAATTTTAGAATCCATCGAGCTAGATACAATCAATCACGCCGTCCGAAAGTTATGGACACTTTTAGCAATAAATTGGACAGAAAGGGACATTGATCCAATTTTCTAGTAGCATCATAATTTTTAAATTTACATGATAATATTTTTCAAGTCTAATCTATCAGTATTTTTAAGTAATATTTTTGTTTATTCTTTTAACGTACCAGAAAATACTTAATAAATTCAACATTTCATCCTGCTTCTAATTCGTCAATCAATGATATGAATGAATAAAGTACTTAAAATTACAATTTTTATAATTTCACTTTTGTATTACACATTGAAGCTAAAACTTTAATTTACGTTATTCTTAAAAAATATGTAGCAGGATAATAATAGTCATGCATTTTTTTCAATTATTAAAAAAAATATGAACTCAATACCTACTAATATTTAAATTGAAAGTATGTTATTTGTGGATGTATAAATGATATAACGAATGTAGGAAAAATGTTTTTTTAAAAATTGACATACCAAAATAAAAAAAAATCATCAACGTATACTAAATAATTTAATTCATTCTAATTCCAGTAATGAATTCAAGTACTTCTGGTACTTGCGTTAATGAGTAGTATAAACACTTTTATTAATTTTACCATTAATTAAATAACAGAATGATACTTTTTAACATCGATATATTAGTTCGATACTTTTTTCAGTACTCGGTGTATCGATACTTTGCTTCATGTCGAAGAACTTTGGTATGAAGAGGGGGTCTACCATGGACTGGTATAAAATCCTAACAGTCATCTGGAGTCATTACAGTTTGGTTGTGTTAACGAAGGAAAGTAATTAACAAAGACTTGTACGATATCATTAAAATGGTAAGTAATTTTAAAAAACACTTTTTAAATATTTGTTATAAGTTAAATTTTGTTAAATAACGAAAAAAAATTGGTAAAATTGAAAACTAACAAATCGAATATATTATGTAATGATAATTCATTTTCACGAAATCTCATTATAAAAAATAGTATATAAAATCTTATCATAAAAAGCATATCGAAACTCTTTTATATTCATCATAAAATATAATTCGTTGTTATTAATTTATATATCATTCTTTGGAACCAAGTATTTAAAAAATTAGAAAAGAAATAATTTTATTTATTACTGACAAAAACTATATTTATCATAGCATTTCTGAAACGTATATATTGATTTAATGTAACTAAAAGTTGTCAAGTAAAAGTTACAAAAAAATTTATTCGTTTAGTCGTAAAACAAACTTATTTTAAAATTCCGAATTGATTATTTTACTATTAAATACCAGATTTGTGTCAGAGCACTTACTAAATTTTTATTGGAATATATTTATTGATTTCACACATTAAAATGTAAATGTAATTGCAGTCTTCAATAATTTGGGAGACACTATCTGATGAACAATGATGGGAAAATTCACAATTCATGATTTTATAATTAGACAAAATATCAAGACTAAATTAAACATTGATCTAATCATTAGAAAATTTATCATTCAAGCAAAATTTTTGCACTTTTGCAATTGCAACACTTCTTTGTATTGTCTTAGATTTTTTTAATTATGATTGTACAAAATTAATCAATTAATTGCAAATTTTCATATCTATACAAGTACGATCTATTTCAACTGAAATTTTTAAAATTAATTAGATCTGCTTAGAAAATTAACTAGGAAAATAATAAATGTCCTCTTAGAATGCTCACTAGTTCTTTAGTATTTAAATTTTTATTCAAACTATCTCAAAATCATTTACTTCGCACTAAAACAGAGTTATCACGTACTGCAGAAGCAATTCCACGTACATTTCCAGCTTACAAATGTATTAAGGAAATACGAACAACTTCTGAAGAAAGTTATATAGTACACCCATAATAAAGTGAGAGTTACAATTAAAACCGTTACATAAAATTGTTCTCAAATATAAAATAATATCCATACGATTCTATTCATTAGTCAAACAAAAAAGCAGTCAGCCGTTAAAGACTACTTATTAACGGGTTCCTTTCATGCAAAACCGCACGTAGGTAATAAAAGTGTTGGATAATAAAATCATAACTAAAACGACATTATTTTAATGATTTTTAACTAATAGTTTGCTAGTAATCAGTATGCATGTTGTGTATACTAGATAATCTCGTTAAATGCGCAGATCTGTAATAAAAGTGTTTTAGAAAACCAACAAGAAAGTGTTTGCTAATGTGGAAAAGTTAGACGAGATACATGTATGAATTACTTTCTCACCAAAGATATATTTATAGATATATAAATAAATCAATTGGTAAATTTTTTTTCCAAAATATACTGCAAGTTGGATTTTGTGAATAGATCGAAATCCTGAAGGGTAGACTAGGTATTTTGCCCTAGAAAAAATCGATAGTGTTCTTGATTTTTTAATGGGAAATACAAAGTTTGCGCATAAGAAACTTGTCTTTTATCCAAAAACCTCAAATACAATCCTTCAATTTCATATGGAAATAGTCACAGCAAGATGCTCTACTGTGAAGGAATTTTATATTGATAACACATTAAATCCATCCAAAATTAATTTTAATTAAATGATTCGTTGTATAATAAATTTATCAAAAATGCACATTGGGGGTCCAATATTGTATTCTAAATTGTATTCTATTCATAATTTGGTAACTAATCATATCCATATCCATTTTACAATTCAAATCATATCCAAAACATATAAAATTCAACAAAACTTTACAACTCACATTCTTATAATGTGAAACTAATATTTTTCGTTTGACTGCTACTCATTGTTCTCTTCTCAGTTAATTTAATGTGACTAACCGGCATTGTGATCACTGAAATTATGCCAAAAATGTGAAAAAATGACATTTCAATTAGAAACCATCAAATCAATCACGTGTATTGTGCAAATTTTTATTCAATTTCAACAGCATGCAATTTTTTCTTCCTCTTCTAATTACCAAACGAAATGTTACATAAAATTAATTCATCATTTAGGTTTGCTAGTCATTTATATAAAACCAAGAAGGTTGTGTCCATGTTTTTCTATTTGTTTTCTTTTTCTTTAGATAACTATATTAGTTTTTGGAACCCTGATCGCCTGCTGCATGGCAGGTCATGGTGAAGAAGCTTTGGGAGAAACTCAATACGCCCACAATGTAGAACACAAACATGCATCTTCTCATCAAAGTTTTAGCCAACATCATTTTCACGCTGTACCTGTCTATGTAAAACACGAGGATGCAAAATTACTACACCATCCCATCGAACTAGGAGGAATTAAACACAATCTGAAGGTATACTAAATTAAGAAATCCAACTGAACAATAAGGAAAGCCAAGACAACTGGTATGGTGATCGACAATGCCAAGTCAGAGATTATTATTGGAATAATCAATCAAATGTTGATAAGTGATTGTCCTATTTTATATTCAGTTCCAATATTTAGATGATCCCTAGAATACCATTAGATCTTCCTAAATACCTTCTGATCGAGACTTCATCAGAAATACAATAGTTATGATGAAAATTGCATTTAAATTGATAAAAATTTATCATCAACAAATGGTATAGGTAAATCAAATAACCTCTTTAATATTTTTCCCCAGGTTTTGCATCCAGAGACAAAACCTAGCCACGACCATGGTGCAACTATTGAAAACCATCGAAGTGAGTTTCATCCTCAAGCAAGTGGACACGATTTTGGAGGCAGTTTAGGAGGTCATGGAGGTGGCAGTTTAGGTGGTCACGGAGGTGGTGATGCTGGTGGTGCTCATGCCGACCTTGGAGGACACGGAGGTTTTATTTCAAGTGGAGGCCATGGAGGACTTGGTGGTGGCCACGGAGGTTTAGGGGACTACGCAAGTAACGGTAAGTGGTGGAATTGAATCTCTAAATCGATTTTGGAGCAGAATCTTAGATTGTTTAAAATAGCTCGATTTGGATTAAGGTCAATATAGGATTAGTGTTTTATATAATCATTTTTGTTGAGAAACCAAAATCAAGAGAGCTGGTTTATTATGAAGAAATGCATTTTCAACGTTTTTTTTAACAAGATTTTGAGCATTATAAAAATTTAAAAATTTTAGTGTAACAATTTGAATAAATTTAAAATAAGAATAATATAGATAAAGCTAATTATCAAATCGCAACATATCGTCAACGCTTTTTTACCCTTTTTTAACAAAATCCTAAGCAATCCGATCGAATTTTATGACAACTGCTAATTTTATAAAACTATAATAAGGATTTAATAAATATTAAAAAAAACTTACATGTCAGCAACATATCCAAAATCGTCACCATCACCTACAACAAAAAGAAGAAATATGTTACAATTATATTACATATAGATAAAATTCTCCTAGAATAGAATAATAGAAAATTATTAGTTAACTTATGAGTAGAAATTTATTTGTTGGTAAGTAAATGATTGGTATATTTTGTCTAAAAAATTTTAAATATATGTTTTTTTTTCAGGTGGTGGACATATACAATATGAGGGTCACGGTCATCACTAGAACTGAAAAATAAATCTTGTTCCAAACCCTAAGCAAAAGACTGCTCATTATGAAATATTTTTATATAAATTCATAGGTATATGTGTAATATTTTATGTTAATAAAAAATTAAAACAAAAATCGATGTCATTTGATATCTTTAAAAACAAATGCGGCCGGAATCTTGATGAAATTTATTATTAGTTTTTTTAATTTAAATTGATGTAATATACAAACTTGTATATTTATAATAAATAATTTTTGTTCAATGAATACGAATGATGATCGTAATTTCGCAAATTCCTCCTAAATACTTTATACCATTTTAAATAATTCAGCATATTTTTTTACGTTTAGTTTTTTTTTTGTAATTGTAAGTGAACGTTCGTGTTGGAATAGAGAGAACACTACAAGTTTAGCTGAGATGAAAATCATCCAAGTATTTAACCTTATATCTTATAATTAAACCCGACATATATATATATATATATATATATATATATAATAAATTTTTAACTATTTTATTATACGCCAAAATGTTAAAGTTCAAACTATGTTCAAACAATTAATTTTATTTTTATAACAAAAATTGAGAATATTTAATAACACTTTCTTCTCCTTTTTACCTGAGCTCTGATGAGATTCATATTGTTATTATAATATTGATTATAATGAAATTGTTAATAAAAAAAATAATGTAAAATAAAATAAAATATAAAGCATATGATTATATGCTATGTTCAATGCATTTTACCAAAATTCCATAAGACAAATCTAATAACTAGACCAAAGAAATTGTTACGCATGAATTATATAAATGTGATCAATTATTTTTAAGAATTTTAATATAATTTTCATTTGAATTTAGAACTTCAATAAGAAACTTATGCTTTGAGAATTACTAATTTTAGTAGAGATTCTCTTTGCTTCTAATTTAATTGTACGAGATGCCAAGAGATGCTGTTTCTGTTTAACGAAAATTTAGTGTTCTCTCATCTCTTACATTTTTTTTAAACTCACATTTAATTCAAAAGAAAACTGATTAAATTAAAAAAAATAATTTGTACAAAATAAAAATTTATGGCAACCATCTACAAAAAACTTGAATAGCGTCAAATGAATAATTAATAGTCATGATCAAAATTTATTACTAATATAATCCAAATATAATATTGGTGCAATTATATTAACAACAGTACACAGTACAGCAACAATACTACAAATTGTGCAAGTTTTATATTTTCTAATTATATCAAAATTATCACATACTTTTAATAAAAAAAACCTATGCATCTTCTAAAAAATATTAAAAAAAAGGAAAAATTATTTTATTATTCGTTAGTTTTTCGAAAAGATAGGTAAAAAAGTTTTTAAAAAAGCGGAGCATCCGATTCGAAAGCAACAAGTAGTTTTTGGGGAATACTTAAAAATTTTTTCAAAATTTCGTCACCTTAAAGCATTTAAAATAAATTTTGAACACATGTTCATTAAATCGACTAACAAGCAGCTTTTGCTAATTGCAAAAACATTTACAAACAATTTCGTACCACAATGTAGTTGTATAATCGTATATCCATTTATAAAAATGATGCATCATCCCTACAACATGTATGTAGTGCATATGGCAAAATTTGCTCCCCTAAAAAGCTTTATTATTGAAATTTGACCGCAGATCTCAGGGAACTCAATCTTAATCATGTCAAAATTTTAATAGAAACTGAGGTTCCAAAATACTCATCAATCTAAATTTGATAACTGGTATTATGCAATAACAAATTGCTTTATTATAAAATAAGTGATTCATAAACTGAGGTGGAAAATCATATAACAGTCTGTTTAGAAATTGTTATGCTACATGTAAAGTTAATTTTTAATGTATTTGTATGTATAACTGGATCAAATTCAACTGTAATCTATTATGCATTTAGATACAAAAACTATAGTTTTTGCTCAACCGATTTGAATGATTCAAAAAATATTTGAACTCAAATATGGAGATGAATTCGTTAGTTCTTCGTGAAGACAGGTAAAAGAGTGGTAAAAAAGTATTAAAAAAAGCGAAGCATCCGATTCGAAAGCAACAAGAAGTATGTATGTATATAATATGAGCATTATAATGTATGATAAGAAATTATTTTAGAATTATCTACAAGTATACATGTATATTTTATGCTTCCTTTTGGATGGATTATGAGTCAATTAATGTCATCCCACTTCCAACTTCTTTGCGTTCCTAACGTTGTTCTTCATAGTATCTTCTACAAATATCTAGTGTATCTATGATTCGGATCGTCCACCACCAAATATTAATAAAGATGACCATTAAATCGATTTCAAGCATAGTGGACAACAATCTGTATGAAACAGAACATCTGACAGATATCAACACATGCATATGACAGAACTAGCGCGGTACGAAAGAGTACATGGAATGCAATCCATCATATGATGGTGGACAACGGGAGAACATTCGCGTCCATAAGGGACCGAATTGGATATTATATAGTAGACACTTTGTAAAATTTATATTTATATCAATATTTATATTCTTTATCAATACTATTAAAAAATTTATACGATTAATTTGCCAAGTTGTTCCAAATTCCAATGATGTCACCCATGTTGGTGGTGTTATGGGTAAATAGGTAACTGAGACTGTTGACCCTTGAAGAAAAGACCAATACGCGAGTTATTTATTTGAATTATTCTGGACTCTTCCGAATAGTGGTTAGAGGTATTTGAAATTTAAATTAGGGTTCTCAGAGTCGATACCTGCCTCGGGCAGTTTGATTTCAAGCAGGATTGACATTGGTTTTTACTTGGAGAAGCAGATAGCAAAATGATCACAAGTGAGAATAGCTCTTGCCTGGCATTGGTGCATTAAACAAAAATCATCAGTAATACAGAAATTGCTATAATAAAATTCATCACATTGGACATCTGTTTTGGTTGCCATGCATAAAACCGAAGAAGTTACTTAAGTCACCTTATCACGTCTTCTTATAGAACACTCATCAACATCAATAACAATCGCTATATCTAGATAAGTGACTAATATGGAGTTTTCAATTAACAAAAATGTTTACAGTCGCTGTATTTTGGCACAAAATTAAATAGAAACACTTTATAAAAAAATATCTTAGTATCCACATGTTTCATCAATATAATTTGATATCTAATAATATATTCCCAAATGCCAATTTATGGTGCATTTATGGTCATAATTATATTTGTCTTCATGAAGAGATTTTTTAAAATAACTAATTTTTACAAGAAATACAGTGTTTTGGTGAGGTAGTTATACTTGGTAAAATAATTAGTAATAAGTTTAAATAAATATTTATTTGTATCAATTTTTATTTATCAACAATCCAGGCAAGATATCTAAGTCTGGCAAGCATAAGGAGATTTTGTACGCTATATACAAAAGTATCAAACGATTCAGAACTACTTAAAATGTAGACAAAACAAAATTAACAAATTTGTTTTTATCAGCAAAAATAAACTTTTACGGAAAGTAATCAGCAGAGTGTTTGAATCTACTTCTCTTATGTTTCAAATTACAAAAAAAAAATATTACCGATTTTTTTAAATATGTGATTGTACTAAATGTTAAAATTATTTATCAGCGTTTAATAATATATTATATATCTAATATACATTTTAATGGTATAGTAATATATTATATATCTGATATACAATTTAATGGTAATATGGTAAATTATAATATACCATACTATACCATCTAATATACAATTCAATGGTAATATGGTAAATTATAATATACCATAATATTCAATTGCTATAATAATATAAGATAATATTTATTTGCTATATCTTTCTCAAGCTCACTAATTTTGTCTTGTGGTGTTGAACAAGAGAGTTTGCCTCATTTAGTCCTTTGTCGTTACAAAAAAAAAATTATTGCAGATTTTTCAAAATAATTCCATGTATTGAATGTTATTCTTGTTACTTATCCCAAAACTTTAAAATTCATTTATATCTCTCACGGTTTGCTCTTTTCATATAAATCCTCCTTATATTTGCCGAAAAATCAAATTTGCTAATACGGCTTAAAAGGTCGCAAAAATAGTGCACATAAGTCATATGTAGTCCAGATTAGAAAATATAATAACCCAAATTTTATTGTTGGATCCATTAACAGCTGCTCTAGAAAACGTGTGCTGTTTAACGTACAAAAATAACAATAGAGATATACATCTATATATTATTTTTTTCGGCCGAAACGAACAAATTTGTATTTACACATGATTTGTCCGGAATTTAACGCGTCATTAAACATTAACCATACCTCCGAAGTTTTTCGATGTATTTTTATTGAAAATACGGTGAAGTAATTTTATCGTAATGGATCTGTTTAGTTAGAGGATATCAGCGCTAAAAATCGACAATGTAGAAATTATTTATTAATTTAATTATAGGGGATGTTACAGATGTCGTAAAGGCAATTTCATGGATTACCAATTGGGAAATGATTTTTTGAAAATACGCACTTCTCGACGTTTCAAGTTATTTCAATCATTTGCCACCAAAATTCGAAAAAGTATTTGTACGCACATAAACACACAGAGATCCATTTTTTTCTGAGGTTTTTATAATGATCAGGAGGTCTTGAAATGTAAAGATATTGAAAAGTCAAAACCAGTCCTTTTCGATTTTTTTCCGATTACTATATCTTCACCCTTTGGGAAGGTAAAAATATGAATTTATGATATAGAACATTGTCATTTAAATGGACAAATTATATAAATATACCACCATGATAATACTATGATTTAAATAAATTTTTGAATGGCAGAATTTGAATGACATGAACATGATACAGTTGGAATAATATATGTGCAATTCATTTACTGATTTGCATATAAGCCCTTTCATAAACCACGATTTATAAAATCCAGATCGTCCTAAAGTATATATTGAATGAACTTAAAAATCACTCAAAACTTCCACCAACAGTAAAAAAAAACTTTGGATCAATTCGTGACATTATTACATGC